ATCCGGTTATATTTTTCTGAGCCTCTTATTTGTTGCATGAGATAAAAATTTTTATACAGGTACTTGGGAAAGAAGATTGTTAACAGTGTAACAATCATATCAATGTAGATTGTTTTACATGGAGTACATGATAGTATGTGATAAAGGCTTAGACATTTATATAAAAAAGTGTCTAAATAGTACTATATCTCATGGTTTAATCAAGAATACACTTGTTGGGAGAAGCCTATAACACCAGGGTATCAATTGTAGACACATAGTTCATTTTTCTCTCATTTTATCTTTCCAGAGAGAGACCAAATAAGGCATAGAAGAGGCTAGAGGTGACACCATCTCATGGCACTATAGGAAAGGACCCTATCCACGGGTCAGATTTCTTACAGTGCAAATTTGTGAATAGCCTTAGATGTGAGGTATAAAAGAAAAGGACCTAGTCACTGAATAATCCATATAAATATCAGTACAAAGACTTTTCTGAGAAATTATATTAAACTACTAAAGCAGATTTCTCAACTATATTTTCAGTATTTTCCCCCCTACAAGAATCCATCATTGGTGTTTTGTTCCTAATATTAGCTCTGATAAAATTGGAATATCATAGATATACTATTTTTGTTTAAGTGCTATATGTACATTCATGCTTTATACTTAGAATAAGGTTAGTGGTTAGTTTGGTTTTTTGTTGTTTATGGTTTTGTTTATTGGGGTTTTTTTGTTTGTTTTTACCATTTCCTTTAAAACCAGTTTTTAACCCATTGAGAATAAATATTACAATACATAGTCTGTCCCATCTGAAGAAAAACTGGAGTACATTCCCTTCCACTAAATAAGAGTGTGCCTGCTTGTGGTCCATATGTTTCAAAGAAACATGAGATTCTGGGGTTAGTCACACAAAAAGCCTTGTTTTGTTTCTCCATTAAGTATTTATAAAATAAATGAATAAATAAAACATTCAGGCTTTTGAATTTGGAAATGAAATCTAATTGTTGATTATGGGTTATTACAAGACTCTGAAATCATATGCCTGTATAGGAGTGGTCTTAAAATACTTTAATAACTGCTCTTAAGATATTGAGTTAAATAAATACTCACTTTTTTCATAGTGATTCCATTTTTTAATTTATTACAAGAAAATATATCCTGTACAAGAACGTTTAAAGAAATTTTAGTCATAATAGCCCCAAACTGGAACTAATCAAAATCCAGCAGTAGAAGACTATATAGATTGTGTGGCATATTTATGGAATCGAAAACTACCCATCTATTATCAAAATCAACTATTTATGAGTGAAAACACATGTATAAATGTCAGAATTGTTCTACTGAGCCAAAGACACCAGGCACAAAGAATGCAGGATACATGAATAAGGTACTTATAACATATGATCTATGGTTCCATTTATATGTAGGCCAACCCCAGGCAATGCTAATTGATTGATAAGAACCAACACACTGATTGCTCATTGCAGGTGGTAGATTGATAGAAAAGGGCCATGAGAGACCTTTATTAGATGAGGAAATATTCCATAGCTTGACATCAACATTAGTCAAGCTGTACCCACAGAAGATTTGTGCATTTTACTGTATGAGAAAGTTGTTCCTTATAGTTAAAAGATATTGCCACCACAGTAAAGTTAGCAAGTGCCATGCAGTGTTATAGTAGAATCCAGTTTTAGTTAAAAAGTAACTTTTTCTGCCAGAAGGAAAATACTCTACCATTGCTACTGCAGCAGCATAGCAAAGTACACTGATAGAGTAGGCCAGGAAGTTTCCAGAAAGAGCCAAAGCTGCCAAGCCACGCAGACTGACAAAGACATTCCTGAGTTCCAAAGCAAAGCAGGCACATGCTTTGTGCACAGGGGATGAGGCAAACCATCCCAAAGGCTATACACAAACTAACTTTGAACAGTTAGAGGTTCTATATCAAAGAACTGTATGAAATAACAATTCAGGTCATGAAATGAAGAAACAATATCTCAACAGAACATGAAAAGTGATAGGACTCAGGGCAGATTCAGTATGTGCAGCACAAGAAGAATGGAGGGTCCAGCCTTATCTGAAAAAAAAAAGAGTATGACTTAATTTAGTAGGTAAGGAAAATTGCTGTTTTCTGAATAAGAAGGAACTATGAACTCATGAATAAATTTATATTCATGTGAATAAAACTATATAAAACATAAATTTTACATAATAAAACATTTTTTTCTTTACATTCTCTTAAAAAGGTACCTTCTATTTCAAAGAATATTTTTCATCTTGCCTATAATTAAAAAAAATCCTCTGTAGTCATTGTTGCAGAACTAACTGAACCAGGTGTACATTACCTACTAATTCTCTCTGGATATGCTAAAGATTATTCTTTAAATGCCAATGAATACTACTTTCTCCCTCAAATCTATCTTGATTTGGAAATCAGGTTGAAACTGAAGGAAGGAAGACCTGTGAGCAGGGAAAGTTAAGTTTGTGGGACTGATTTGCAATTTAGCAAAGTCTTAGCCCTGAACCAAATTTGAAAGAGATACTTGTAACAACATCAGATGCAGGTTTGAATGTATTTTGTTAGAATATTACAGATAAAATAAAAGGGAATTGAGAAAGAAAAAATTAGTATACACTTCTATCAGTTTAAGTTAAAACCAGAAGCCATTTGAAACTTAAATGCCTATATGTGGCCTTTGTATGACAAGTGTATTTTTACCTGCATATATTGCCTTATGTTTTCATACTGATTGGCTTTGCTTAGACAATATAAAACAAATATTGACCACAATTTTGAAATACACAGTTTCTCAGACTTATTCTCATGAACAAAGCTGAAATTTTCTGGAAATCAACACTTTTAAGTATCTTCAAGACTTTAGAAAACCTACTCATAAAACATAAAAGTATTTTTTGTTAATTTTTTTAAATTGTTGGTTTTTATCACAACCAATTTTAAAGCCTACCTAATAGGTTGCTCCATTTTTTTTTTTCTTCTGGTCAAATTGGTGTGAAAATAACAATGGCAGGAAAAAGAGTAGACATATACAAGACCATTTTCTCCATAGCAAACAACAACTAAAGTTTTATGTAAGGAAATAGTCCTTTGTTCCTTCAGCTGCTGCTCCCATCACTAATGGGAGGCCATCAGTGTTTTGGGTGGTGTTTGAAGGAATGATACATTGGTAGGCAGTACTTGAATAGGTCAATACACCATCAGCTTTGGGACCAAGTAGACAAGCCCTCTATCTTTACCCTTCTGCTCTCTAGTTAGGGGACCTTGAGCAAGTCATAGTAGCCTCTTAAAAAAAGAAAAAGATAACATTCCTCACAGTACAGATACCCCTCAGGTATACATGGGACAATTTAACATAAACACCTGCTACCCATTTATACTGCAGGCATAATTTATAGTTTAGGTTCCTAAATTAGTTTTCTGCAATTGCCTTAACATATTATCACAAAATCGGTAGCTTAAAACAATAGAAGTTACTTTCTCACAGTTCTGGAGACCAGAAGTTCAATATCAATTTCACTGGCCATGTTATCGTTGGATTCTGTCGGGGAGAACCCATGTCTGGCATCTTCCAGCTTCTGATGACTATAGGTATTTTCTGCTTTTGTCCACATCATTCTAGTCTGTCTTCATCTTCACAAAGCTTTCTGCCCTTCTCTCTGTGTGTGTATTGTGTGTTTGTGTGTTTGTGTGTGTGTATGTGTGTGTGTGTGTATGTTTCTCTCTTATAAGGACACTTACGATAGTATAAGGTCCACCCAGATAATGCAGGATGATCTCTGCTTCTCAAGATTCTTAATTTGATAAACTCTTTACAGACCATTTTTCCAATAAAGTAACACAGGTTGGAGGCATTAAGCTGTGAGCATATTTGATGGGGCAGGGACACTTTTCAGTCTTTCACAGTGCTTAGTAAATGTTAGCAGGCTTTCTCTGTCATATACACAATCTCTTTGAATATGAGTTATTCCTCTTGTGTTCACCGTGTAGACATGAGTAACAAGAATTTTATCCTGTTCATTGCCTGAACCAATGTTTGTGGAACTGACCAATCAGCAGTGGTTACAGAAAACACTTTTTTTTAACTATGGTTGGGAATAACCAGACATTTGGGAATAACCAGACATCAAAAAACTCTTAGGAGTTTTCATTTACAGGCATCAAATTATTCCATTAAACAAAACAGAAATATTAATATGGCTTTTTCCAGAAGGCAGCATTCAACTAAATGCAGTTTAAAAAGCACTATTTCTCAAGTAATAAGAGTATGTATTTTTTCTGTGATATTTATATTTGTTCAAAAGTATGTAATTTTCACACATTTAGTTATTTGAATTTGGTGTCTATAGAAAACAAAGTCAGAAAAAACATTGAGACTTGCAAAGTGGGACACATATAAAAAAAAAGTGCTGAAAGTACCTAGCTTGACAGATGGCTGAGGGTGAAATTACAAAGTGGTTGGTGAGATATTTGAAATTTTTTTAAAAAGCAATGGAAAATTATGAATTAATGCATTATTAATTGTTCTAAAAACTTCTCATCAAAATATAATAAAAGACAAAATCCTTTGCATACAAATATATGCTAAAGCTCTTTCCTAATCACATGCAAAGAAGATAACTTTTTTTCCCCAAAAAAGTAGGTTAGAAATTTTAAATATTACACTTTCATAATGTTTCTACATAATTATTTGCAGAAAAAAATTCACAAAAACAGTTCTTCCTAAGATGTTTGAAGGAATGCTTATATAATTAAAATGTTGAAAATATAGCCAGAGGGATCTCAAGCTAAAATTTCCTTCACACAAGTAGAAAAGATTGAAATGGAAACTAGAACAGGAATTACCTTTCATCTTTTCATCATGTAGATGCAACTTTATTTTATATATTCATTTTTATATGGTGCTGAGAATCAAACCCAATGCCTCACATGTGCTAGACAAGCACTCTGCTACTGAGCCCCAGCCCTAGCCCATGAACCTGCTTTCAACAACCGGAAAACAGGATGGGGGTACACCATTCCTGGAAGTACTGCAATACCAGGTCAATGAGTGGAGTGAATCTAGCAAGCTCCTATTCCATCTCCCTCATCCAAAAATCCACTAAATATATTTTTCTCACATGGAGGACGTATCAGATATTAAACTGATAAGAACAGATACTACCCTTGATCTTAGTTGAAAGACCAAGAAGCAATCACCATGCACTTTTACAATCAACAAATTAGCACCCAAATGATGTTTTATCAGTTTCTCTTACAGGCAATTCCTAGCCTGAATAGTTCTTTGTTCAAATCTTCAGCTACAGAAAAACTAGCCTAACCTCAGTATATTGGCAATAAACTGTTAAAAAACATACAGGGCACATGGAATGCATATATAAATATTTATAGTTATAAAACTCATAATGCCATTTAATTCTTACAGGAAAAGCATTCAATGGGTTCTATTATATAAGACACTTTTACTGAGGAAGTGGGAGCTCAGAGAATAATTTGTTAAAAAACATGAAGCTGGCAGAGCAGACCAAAGGTCTAAACCAAGTTCTTTAACTCCAAAAATTTCCTCCACTGTGTTTCTTCTTTGCTGTTAACATGCTACTGCACTCCAGGCTTCTTTTCCTGGATTATTTTTTATATTATTAATCATAATGAATGTGCATTTTCCAAAACAGAATTTTCAAAACTTTCTGTAAGAAGTTATATTTAATGTGTAGTAGAATGCCCCAGCCTCTGATAGGTAGTTTTACTCAATCCCCTTGGACACTCTGGTTTTTTTCCACCTAGTATGATTACTGTCTAAATTTTACCATCCACAAATATTTTGTAATCTCCTAGAAGATATCACATGATTGTATAATCCCCCATGCATGCGCACGCGCGCACACACACACACACACACACAGCTGAACACTAAGATTCTTATTAAACTAACAGCCTCTAATCAGTGCGTTTACTGTTGGATACTCTTTACACAAGTTATCTATAATCTTCACACTCCTGCAGAGTGAATATTATGATGAAGACATTGAGACTCAGAGAGGTTAACACAAAAGATTAGATCAGATAGTGCATAGTATCTTTGCAGGAATGAAGAAAGGGCTTCCCTACTTTCAAAAGAAGCAATCTGAGTGTCTCTTAACAAGATCACTGGCTGTTTCCTCACGCACTAAGATAATTGGGCAGTACACAAGCTGCAAAACGATACACAGATCCTCTGTTACGAGGACACAGCTAATAAATAGTAAATGAGGTTTAACGTCAAATTGTCTGATGCTAAGACACATATGTATCCAATATGCTATACAATTTCTGAATCCCTGGTACCCTACCTCCCCAATTTTCTAAGAAACTTGATAAATTAGTTTTGAGACACTACTGGGGCTACTATTCAACTTTTCTTCTACAAATCTCTAACACGTCCCATCCCCTTCCTGGGAATCAGTGACAGCACCTATGGCTGTATCTTTTCTATTTTTGCCCCTGAGTAATATAATGCTTCATGCTTTGTTATTTACACTTCAAGGGAAAAAATTCTGATTTCAGAGATCCCTATCTTAAATAATAATCAAGCCCATTATTCCCTGATTGAAGATCTGGGGTTGACTTATTTCTTTTTTTTTTTTTTTTTTTTTTTTTTGGAGGAATGCTTAAACTCCTGGGAAATTTGAATTCTTAGTATTTTTCAATTTAAAGAACTCTTATATTGAACCCATATTGGAAAGAAAGATGCTTTGGTAAATGGGAGAGTCACCATGTGCATGGTAGGCCATGGCCAGGCCTGGCTGAGGAACTCTCAAGTATATTGACTTATGGAGCAAGAACCCCATTGTCCAAATGTGTGGCTCTGGTTATGCAGTGAAAAAAGGTTTTTCAGCAGAGACATTCTGCTCTCCTCAGACTCTCACTTAAAGTGGAATAAAAAACAGATCTCTCAGGGCTGCTCCACTAGCATGATGAATTTTGCACTCCTGGTAAATCCCCAAGGTTTAGCTATGTCCTCACGTGGAACTAAAAACTTAGATGCTATAATTCACTGGAGACCTTGCTTATCCTTGATATTGCATTTATATATGAGTAATTTGTATAATTTGCATGCTAGTGAGGTAGTCAAATTAATTACTGGACTCAGTCAAGATTGAATTGTTATTCTTTATAGTATTCACATCTGATACAGTTTTTTGTCTTGCCAATCCCACAGTATTTTATCTTATTTGCACATCAAACTTACTCTTCTTCCATTTGCTTTTTCTTATTAAGTTTGATAAAATAATGCCAAATATATTTATGAAAAGATAAAAAATATACAGTCACCACCTGTTAGAGTTAGAAAGGACTTTTTATGGTACCCAGACCAATTTCTTAAATAGATAATCAGCGCCACCCTTAGGATATACAGAACCCTAAGCCATTTCCTTTTTTCCTCTGATGCTCCTGTCTATATAAACACTTGCATTAAAATTTATTAGTAAAACCTCTGTTAATTGATGATTATATAGAATAATGGGTAGGAAAGAATGTACATTTTTATTGATCATCAGTCAGTGAACATGAAGTTTCAAACACCTTCTCATCCTCTTCAAGTTCAAAAATTCTCCCTTTATATTCTATATTGCAAAATTTTCTATCTTTTACTAATGTCACATCTTTATATTTTCAGAAAAAAAATCAGCAGTGCTATCATCTATAATGCAATGGTTTAATACAACCTGATTATATTGCAATAATATGAAATTACTTGTGTCTATGATTCTCTAATACTGTGTACTTAATTATATCATCTCCCATAATGGTTTTATTATCCATTGTACTAACTATGGATAATACTCCATTGGCCTTCTCCAGAGTTATTACTATGCATTATTCACAATGACCATGAATGCAAATTTCATCCAGATTAAACAGAAAAATGTAAATAGCAGTTCACTTTCTGGTAATGTTAAACTTATTATTTGGAATTAATATGGTATAATTAAGACTAACACATAATTCCAATAATATATTCTCTTGAACTTTCCTAGGTCTTAAACATGGCTTCCTTTGAATGTAATTTATTTCAATTTTGACCATACTCTTGCTTTCCATACACAACTAACAATGGAAAGGATAGACAAATAATTCACAAGTTGAGTAATAAATGTTTTTATTTACTCAATGAACATCTGTTCTTTATCCAGCATGGCTTAAGGCTGACCTGTGACAGGATAACATCATGGCACCAACTGGGTACAAAAGAGGATATCAATGAGAAAATCTTATTAGATATGAGGAGGAAAAGTCTTCAAAGTCTGTGGAAAAGATCAGCTCTGTTGCTGCAGCGGGCATGGCACAGAGACCATGCACAGGATGATGTGGCCATCAGGAATTCATCAGTGACACAAGTACACAGGGTAAAGGTTGCCTGTTGCCCTGAATTGCTTTTTCCTGGAGGCTTAACCAACATTGGCGTATGAATGAATGATAATGTACACATAAAAACACATATGGCTTAAGCCCAGGGTTTCTCAGTGGACCATCAATAAACCAGAGCTTAAATTCAGTCTGAGTCTAATGTGTATGAGAATCAACAAGTCACACCATTCAAAAACCAATTTTCATTCAATCTGTCCAAAGGAATAACATGCTGGTAAATGGTGGTAAGCAATTGCCAGGCTTGAGTTCAAACACAGAAACTTTAGGAAACTACCTTGTATTAAGTTCTGGGGCATCTATTTGACCTTTTGCATAGAGACAGAGTTCAAAAAACAACACAAGTAGAATGGGGCCCACACAGCCCTTGGCATGAGTTTGGGGAATCATATTGGAAACTGCTATCTCAAGCTGGTCCCAGGTAACTAAGGAAAGCCTTAAATTTTTCAAAAGAAGTACTCCTCAGTACTTAAAATTTTCAAGAGAAGTACTACTCAGTACTACTCATTACTTTCTAGTAATGTTAAATTTACTATTTGGAATTTGATATCGTATAATGTAAAATATATATATTATACAGCATATACAGGAAAGTAGCTCCCCTTGAGTTTCTAGCTAGATCTAAAGGAGAAACAGAAGATGGTAAAACATTGCTTGGGCACTCACAGTTTTCCCAGAGAACTAGGTCTCCATCTCAGTTCTTATGCTACATGAAGGTCTGCTCCACTAATAATTTTTCCACAGAATTTAAGAATTTGAATCTAAAGTACATTTTGCCAATTCAAAAATTTCATTCCTAACTATCCTGTCTCCACTAAGCAGATATCTCCTTCACACTTAAGTATTTTCAGTGATGAGAATATTACCATCTCCTAACACAATACCCTTTCTCTTAACTAGGTCAGGGACACTACTATAAGAAATCTGTATTCTCATGGGTCACACTTTCGAACCACATGGCAAGAACTTGAAATCCTCTTTAAGAGGATGTTTCTTCCATTTTGTGAGAATAGTAGCAAGTAATTTTATGGCCTCTTCTCCCTTAGGTTAATCACCTGTTTTATTATTGATGTGCAACCTACTCTTGAATTCTAAGCATTCTTTTTTTTCTACCTTATAAGTGTTGCTCTAAAATATGAGAAGCTGTGTTGCATTAGATTTGAAGATTTTATTTTCAGATATATTTATTGGGATTTTCTTACTTTTTTGGAGGGGTGGGTGGGTAACAGAGTTGAAACTCAAGGGTATTATACCACTGAGCCACATACCTAACCCTATTTTGTATTTTAGGGACAGGGTCTCACTGAGTTGCCTAGCACCTAACTTTTTGCTGAGACTGGCTTTGAACTTGTAATTCTCCTGCCTCAGCCTCCCAAGCTGATGGGATTACATGCATGAGCCACCACACCCAGCTGGAATTTTCTTACTATGAAATTCGGATTATTTCATTACACAACATATTTGATCAAAAATAAAAAAAAATAAAAGTTCCTTAGGGTTTGATTTCTCCAATAGATTGTCATTATTTTCTATGTGGCATAATAGTAGCATATGACTCTATGACCCTGACAAACTTCATAAAGTAACTGATAATGAAATAAGAATATAAAATTGCTCTAGGTTTAAAAGAAAAATGTATTTAACAATATGTAGGAACTACACAGACAACTAAATTAGCATAAATGTTATTGACAGAGAATAAGGAAAAACTCAAGCTCACTTTACATTCTGATTATATCACAAAAAGACTCTAAGGACTGTTACACATATAAGCCAGTTCTATAAACAAT